TGAAAGGAACTATGATGTGGGAGACAGAGAGCTGTTAGCCATCAAGGCAGCACTTGAGGAATGGCACTACTTACTGGAGGGAGCTTCCCATCCTATTCTCATTTTTACAGACCACAAGAACCTTGAATATTTGAGAACGGGAAAATGTCTAAGACCACGACAAGCAAGATGGGCACTATTCTTTTCCCGCTTTCTCTTTCATTTGACATACCGTCTGGGATCAAAGAACGGTAAGCCCGACGCACTCTCCCGTATGTTTCCCGACCCAATCGTACAGTCTGAACCTGACACAATTTTGCCAGCCAAGAACTTTTTACTTCTGCAGAAGATCTTGTAACACAAATAAGAGAAGTGGTGGATGATCATCCACCCCCCATAGAGATGCATCTTCAGCTAAAGGACGGTCTGTATTTTCATAAAGAACAAATCTTTGTGCCCAAACAACTCAGGACTCTTATCCTCAAAAGGTGTCATGATCACCCCTTAGCGGGTCACTTCATTCCTTCTGGTGGCCAAACTCAATGAAAGATTGTCAGAACTATGTGAGATCTTGTGCAGTTTGTCTTCGAAACAAATCTGACAAAGCTAAGATCTGGGGCCTTTTGGAATCTCTGCCCGTACCGGAAAAACCATGGAATATGATCTCTATGGATTTTATTGTGGAACTTCCCCCATCAGAGGAATTCACCACTATTTTTGTAGTGGTTGACCGCCTATAAAAAATGGTTCACTTCATTCCCTTGAAAGGGACTCCTTCTGCCACGGAAACTGCTTCTGCCTTCATCAAAGAGATAGTAAGATTGCATGGCGTTCCTATCAATATTGTATCCTATCGAGTAGTACAGTTTACATTCAAGTTCTGGAAAGCTCTGTGTGAGGCACTAAAAATCGAATTATGCTTCTCCTCTGCATACCATCCCCAAACAAATGGACAGACGGAGAGAACAAACCAAACTCTGGAACAATATCTCCGATGCTTCTCCTCTTATTCACAGGATGACTGGATATCTCTCCTTCCATTAGCGGAGTTCGCATACAATAACTTCATTCACTCGGCTACCAAGCAGTCCCCTTTTTACTCCAACTATGGATATCACCCCTCCTTCCTTCCGGAAATACCAGTGGAACCCGCTGTCCCGGCAGTACAAGAAAGCATGAATTTCCTCAGGAGGAACGGTGAAATATTACAAAAAACTATTTCAGAAGCTCAGGCGTGTAACAAGAAATTTTTTGACAGAAGGAGAAGGGGCAACTTAAATCTGAAACAAGGAGATAAATTCTGGTTATCCACGGCTAATCTAAAATTGAATTGTCCTTCGAGAAAGCTTGGTCCAAGATACCTGGGACCATTTACTATTAAGAGAAAAGCTAACACTGTAGCATTCGAGTTAAAGTTATCTACAAATATGAAGATTCATCCAGTGTTCCATTGCTCCTTGCTAAAACCACATATTCCAAGTGGATTTCCCAATCGAGATCCGGAGACGCCTGCTCCACTGCTGGTTGAGGGAAATGAAGAATACAAGGTAGAGGCTATCTTGGATTGTAGGAAGAGGGGCGGACAGACCCAGTTTCTCATTAAATGGAAAGGCGATGGTCCAGAGCATAATTCCTGCGAGCCATCCACTAATGTCGATGCCCCATGGTTAGTTCAAGCCTACCTCCATCTTCACCCTGAAAAACGAGCACATGCACGGCGAAGATTGGAACCAGACGGCCTATTTAAAGAGTGTCTCTGCCCATGTTAAGTGCTGACTGGTCTTCAACTCCCCTGTGTCCTGCTTGTTCCCGTGTGATTCCTTTGTTGCTGACCCGGCTTGTTCCTGACCTGACTCTGATTGCTCTCCTGATTGATACTGGTTCCTGACTTCGGCTCTGCTCCTGACATTGGCTTTCCTTCTGATTCTGTACCGTGCTGCCTGACTGTTGATGACCCTGACTATTCCCATGACACTGCTCCTGTCTCTTGTCCTCATTACCTGCCTTGCTCTGGTGCACGCCTGGCAATCTACAAGTCCTGCTCTGCTTATTACTACTGTGCCTGAATCAGAGGATCATCAGCCTTCCAAGGTCATCATCTGCAAGAGCTGCAAACAACAACTACTGGTGCTCTTGTCCCCCTGGTCCCTAGACTCCCTGTGTTCCAACTCCAGCAGGGTCAGGGCTAATGGCACAAGTGAGGCCGACCTCGTCATTTCAGTCTCCCATCAGGTACGTGACATGTGGCCTCCTCCAGAACGCCCCCCCCCCCCCCCCCCCCCCCACCAGAAAGGCTAGCATCTTCCCTTCTCCAAAATTGTAAGTTATTAACCACCATTCAGGCTCTGTTGCACCTCTGGAGACAGAGATATGCAGTAATCCAGGGGTGGAATCTTTTTGTTCCATACAGACTGAATGAGGGAATAGCCTCAAACAAAGACTCTATCTTCCCCAGCAACCTCATGCAGAAGCGAGTTTAAGGATACCTCTTGGCCTTTAAACTGCAAACCTCATTCCGCAGGGCTCAATGTTTCCCTGGAGGCAGAAATACATTTGCCTGAACCATGTCTAGGACCATCCCCAAATCCTGCAGGTTGTGTACTGGATCCAGGGCCAACTTCTTAAGGTTCAGCACCCAGCCCAGCTGTTCCAGGATCTGTATCGTAAGGACCACCTTCTGCTTCAGATCTGGCACTAACCGATTTTTGAGCAAGAGATCGTCTAGATAACTGAGTTCTGAGTAGCCCCAACACCGGAGCAAGAATTTTTGTGAGAACTCTGGGAGCCATGGCGAGCCCAAACGGTAGTGCAATGAACTGGAAATGCTGAGCCCCTACTGTAAACCACAGAAATCTTTGCTGAGGAATGAATATCTGTACATGCAGGTATGCATCCTAGATGTCTATAGATGCCAAAAAATATCCCTCCTGTAGGTAGGCCACTACTGACCTAACCGATTCCATACAAAAGGATCGGACATTTAGGAACTGATTTAGCCCTAATTTATAAGTTTAAAACAACTATAAATGCATAGATTACTATCTTTACCTGTTGGTGCTGTCCACCCTCTAAAACTTATATAATTGTGCCATTTTATATATAAAATGACTTTCATAACCTAATGTGTTATTATTAAAGTAATTTTGGATAGTTAGTCTGGCTGAAAAAAGACAAAAGTCCATCCAGTTCAGCCATAAAAAAATATATATATCCTGTGTATCCAAGAAACAATCCAGGCCTTTTTTTAAAGCAATCCACTGAGCTGGCCAGAACCAACTCTTGAGGGAGTCTATTCCACATTTTCACAGCTCTTACTGTGAAGAAACCTTTCTGTGTTTGAAATTTAAATTTCTTTTTCTCCAGACATAAAGAGTGCCCCCTTGTCCTCTGTGATGACCTCAGGGTGAATAACTCTACACAGAGTTCACTATATGAACCACTGATGTATTTATACATGTTGATCATATCCCCCCTTAATCTCCTATTCTCAAGAGAGAATAAATTCAGTTCCTCTAATCTTTCTTCATAGCTGATCTTCTCCATGCCTCTCATCAGTTTGGTTGCCCTTTTCTGTACTTTCTCCAGTTCCCCAATGTTCTTTTTGTGAATTGGTGTCCAAAACTGAACTGCGTATTCCAGATGAGGTCTTACTACTGATTTGTACAAGGGTAATATGATATCTCTCTCTGGAGTCTATACGTCTTTTAATACAACAGAGGATTTTGCTCGCTTTAGAAACCACAGCTTGGCATTGCATGCCATTATTAAGCTTGTGATCTACCAGAACTCCCAGATCCTTCTCCACCATTGATTCCCCCAGTTGTACCCCCCCCCCCCTAGTATGTATGATGCATGCATATTCTTAGCCCCCAAGTGCATAACCTTACATTTATCAACATTAAACCTCATTTGCCACATAATTGCCCAATTAAACAGAGCATTGAGGTTGGCTTGTAAGTTGGAGACATCCTGTAAGGACGTTATTCCACTGCACAGCTTGGTGTCATCTGCAAAGACTGAAATGGGATTTTCAATCTTAGACCCTATATTAAAAAGTAAGGGTCTCAACAATGAACCTTGGGGTACACCACTGACAACCCTAGACCATTCAGAGTATGAATCATTAACCACTACTCTCTGAATACGATCTTTTAGCCAGTTTTCTATCTATTTACATACAGATTTTTCCAAGCCTGTAGACTTCACCTTACACATTAGCTGTATTTGGGGAACTGTGTCAAATGCTTTTGCAAAATCCAAGTATACCACGTCCACCACCACCCCTCTGTCCAAGGTTTTGCTCACCTCCTCATAAAAATAAATCAGATTTGTTTGACAACTTCTGTCTTTCATGAATCCATGCTGTCTGTTGCATAAAATATTTTTTTCCAGCAAGAACTCATCTATGTGGTCTTTTATTAAACTCTCCAGTATCTTCTTAACTATAGAAGTTAAACTAACAGGTCTATAATTACTTGGTAAAGATTTTGACCCCTTTTTAAATATTGGCACCACATTGGTCTTACGCCAATCCAGTGGCACTATGCCAGTCATTAAAGAGTCCCTAAAAATTAGAAACAAAGGCTTTGAAATGACAGAGCTCAATTATTTAACCACTTGCCTACAGGGCACTTATACCCCCTTGCTGCCCAGGCCAGTTTTCAGCTTTCAGTACTATCGCACTTTGAATGACAATTGCGCGGTCATGCAACACTGTACCCATATGAAATTTTTATCATTTTTTTGAGGCAGATAGAGCTTTCTTTTGGGGGTATTTAATCACCACTGGGGTTTTATTTTTTGCTAAACAAACCAAAAACAACTGAAAATTTTGGAAAAAAAAATGTTTTTCTTAGTTTTTGTTATAAAATGTTATAAATAAGTGACTTTTCTCCTTCACTGATGTGCATTAATGAGGCTGCAGTGATGGGCACTGATAGGCTGCACTGATGGGCACTGATAGGTGGCACTGATGGGCACTGATGAGGAGGCACTGGTAGGTGGCAGTGATGAGCATTGACAGGCATCACTAATGGGCACTGAAAGGCAGCACTCATATATGGCACTGATAGGTGGCACTGACTGGCATTGATAGGCGGCACTGACTGGTACTGTTAGGTGGCACTGACTGGCACTGTTAGGCGGCACTGATAGGCAGCACTGATGCGCACTGATAGGCGGCACTGACTGGCACTGATAGGCAGCACTGACTAGCACTGATAGGTGGTACTGACTGACACTGATAGGTGACACTGAAAGGCAGCTCAGGTGGGCACTGATATGTGACATTGATGTGGCACTGATGGGCATTGGCAGGTGGCATTGATGGGCACTGACAGGTGCCACTGCTGGGGCTACACTGATCATCAGGGCACACTGATCATCAGTGCCCTGATGATCAGTGTAGATGTCCCCTCCGAGGAATGCCGATTACCGGCTCTCTTCTCGAGTTGTCAGCGTGACAGCCCGTGGGGAGAGAAATGCCGATAACTGGCATTTCCCTATTTACATGCGATCAGCTGTGATTGGACACACCTGATTACATGACCGAGCCGACATCTTCGGCTCTTTCCATTGATCGGTGATCCACTGTGTCCGAGGGACACATCGCACCACCGATCGCCACTCTGTGTGCTCCTGGAGCCTCGCATGGGCGGTTAGAGTGGGAGGATGTCATATGATGTCCTCCCAAGACGAGAGAACCACCTCATTACCTTATATGGCGGGCGGGAGGCGGTTAATGACCCATGGGTGTATGCCATCCGGTCCAGGTGCTTTATTCACCTTTATTCTGTCTAAATATTTTTGGATCATATCAATTGTGAGCCAATGTGGATCATCTGGAGCTGTGTCAATACCATGCCTACACAGAGCTGAAGAATGTATTTAATACATTTGCCTTCTCTTTGTCCCCAATCACCCACTCTAGATTATTTTGTAAAGGGCCTACATGCCCGGACCGAACCTTTTTACTATTAATATATTTGAAGAATTTTTTGGGGTTGGTCCTGCTATCTTTTGCAATCTGTCGTTCGTTTTCAATTTTTGCAGCCTTTATTTCCTTTTTGCATATTCTGTTATATTCTTTGTAATGTTTAAACGATGATAGCATTCCTTCATTTTTATATTTAATAAAAGCTCTTTTCTTATTATCTATAGCTTTCTTAACTTTGGCCGTAAGCCACATAGGTTTGATTTTTAGCCTTTTAAACTTGTTGCCCATCGGAATATATTTTGCAGTGTGTTCACATACAGTCTTTTTGAAGAACTCCCATTTCTGTGTTGTGTTCATCAATGCCAATATTCCTTCCCAGTCTAAGTCTTGGAGAGCAACTCTCAGCATTGGAAAATTAGCTCTCTTAAAATTTAACGTTTTTATTTTTCCCATATGTGCTTGCTGTTTACAGCTAACAATAAATGAAATTATGTTATTGTCACTGCTACCCAGATGTTCTTTTATATGGACATTTGTAAAAAGGTCTGCATGGTTTGAGATTACCAGGTCCAGCAGAGCATCATTCCTAGTTGGGGCCTCTATGAACTGTACCATAAAATTGTCCTGTAGTAGGTTTAAAATTTTTGCCCTTTAACACTTCCTGCAGTACTGTTACTCCAGTTAATTTCCGGGTAATTAAAATCCCCCATTATTATCACTGTCCCAGCCCTTTTGATCTGTGCAAGGAGCTGAATCTCCACTTCCTCATTAACACTGGAAGACCTATAACAAACTCCAATGATTACCTTTGTAGTACGCACCCCCATGTGCAGTTCCACCCATAATGCTTCAGCCTCATCACACTCTCCATCAACTAGGTCCTCTTTCACACTCGCTCTGAGATCACTTCTCACATAGAGACAGACACCACCACCTTTCCTATTTACCCTGTCTCTCCGAAAGAGAACATAGCCAGGAATATTAATGGCCCAGTCATGTGAAGAATGAAGCCAAGATTCAGCAATACTAATTAAATCATAGTTCTCTTCATGCACCAAAGCTTCCAACGCACCTATTTTGCTTGGCAGACTTCTGGCATTGGTGAACAAACGCACCTATTTTGCTTGGCAGACTTCTGGCATTGGTGAACAAACACTTTAATTCAGTGACACCTTGTTCACACGTATTTTGCATATTTTTTATTTTCGTACAAATGGTACCAATTTCACTGGTTGTTTGTAACATGGGAACCTTCTTATCATCTGCCATAGCCCTCCCCCCATCTTTCCCCATTCCACCCACCAATAAGTACTGACCCCTGTCTGATCTGTCTACCCCGTTATAATCTAATTCTCCCTCCCCCTCAATCCTAGTTTAAATACTCCTTCAGCCTTTCCATAAACCTCTCCCCCAGCACAGCAGATCCCCTTCCATTTAGATGCAAACCATCTTTAGTATATATGTTGCACCCCAATGAACAGTAAGCCCAGTGCTCTAGAAACCCAAATCCTACCCTCTTACACCAGGTCTTCAGCCATGCATTGAGTTCTCTAATCTCCCCGTCTTTCCCGAATTGCACATGGCACAGGTAATATTTCAGAGAGTATCACCTTGGAGGTCCTTCTCTTCAACTTGCAGGCTAGTTCTTTAAATTGATTCCTAAGGAGCCTCCACCTTCCATATATTCTGTCATTGGTTCCAACATGGACCAAGACAGCTGGGTCATGTCCAGCCCCTCCCAGTAATTTATCAACCGGTCCACCACATGCTGAACCCTGGCACCAGGGAGACAGCAAACCATTCAGTTGAGGTGATCCTGGTGACAAATTATTCTATCAGTCCTTCTGATTATAGAATCCCCTATTACCACCAAATGTCTAAGCCTTCCTGCACTACCCTCACCACCCCTCCCAGATGGTCTGCCCTCCTGGCTGTTAGGGATAACAGTTACATCCAGGCCTGCCACCCCTAATCTTGCCACCCTCACATCTTCACCCAACTTGGCAAATCTGTCTGGGTGCACAAACCTAGGGCCAGCCTTCCTTTTCTGTGAGCCCCTACCACTCCCTCTGGTTACAGTAACCCATCTTCCTACCTGATAATCCTGATTAGTCCCTCCACATCAATCCCATTAGCTACCTGCTCAGAGAGCAGAAGACCCCTTTCAAGGTTTTTAGTTCTCTCCAGTGCTGCAAATTACTCCTCCCCCCTCCAGATCTCATAACATAAGTTTTCAGAAGGGCAACCCGCTCACATCTGTATCCATCCTGGAGCTGTTGCTCCGAGCAAGCTCAGAGGGCGCTCTGCAGAAAGTTATATAGTACCTGTAGCACCTGTGACCAATTAACCCCTCCCGTTATTAGCAGACTGAAGGATAGATAAGGAAAGGAAGAAAAAAAAAATGCTATTTAAAAAGTGACAGAAAAAGTGATTTAAAAAAGTAAAAGCTTTTCAATGTTATTAAAACAACTTGTCTGCAGGCACTATGGAAGATTTACTACAGTAATAGAGACTGTTCACTTAGCAAAGTGTATGTTCAATGAGCTTGGAAAATAAGGTGAAGCTGTGTTCATTTCAATCAGCCAATACTTTTATTTTTATTTCCCTCACATGTTTGGATATTCAATGTAAACACTGGTTCATTTTACTTACAGTACTATCATTCGCTTTGCAAAAAGAACATACATTTTTCAACTTGACTATTCATTTTGCAAAGCAAATTGTCTCATCTTCTTTATTAAATCAATTCCAATGTAAATTTGTAAAAGAGTCAGAAAATGTAAAATGTCCATTCTTTGCAATATAGCAACCTTAAAGATTTTTAATCTAATAGCTAACCAAAAAATTTAATTTTCTGCTTTTGTAGCATTCCTCTCTGACCTACAAATTAGAGGCATACTTGCAATAGTAGTTTAATTGTTGCTGAAATACTTTCTCAGATTAAAGGAGAAGTAGGGACAAAGCTCTTTTGGCCCTACATCTCCTATGGATCACAGGAGTGCACTTTGCATTGCACTCCTGTGACCCATTTTCAGCCCACATCACTCTTTCAGGTCCAGACTCTGGAAAAATCCCAACTTTAATGTCGCTGCTGGCGCAGTCTCTCAATGTACCGCTGACAGCCTAAGCCTCCATTCACATCAAGCCTGGCTTTGAAATTGTGCGACTTACAGTGAAGTCACACGATTTCAAAGTCAGAGGACCTGCCAATTTCAGGTGCGATTTGCAAGACATCTGATACAGATGGCTATGCAAATCGCACCAAAAGTAGTGCATGTGCTACTTTTGAAAGTATTTTTGATATGACTGCTCCAATTGTGGACAATAGGGTGTGACTTAGCATGCGATTTGCAAGTCGCAGGGCATGCAAAGCGCATGCCAAGTTGCACCAATGTGAATGGGGTGTTAGCCAGCAAATTCTGCCCCCTCCACAGCCCAGCGCGCCAGTGAGCACTGGTGGAGCACAGCAGAGAGCCAGTGACTGACAGTTACCAGCTATCTGCTCAATCAGGACCGAGAACTGAGCAATCAGCAGTCTTTGATTATTCAGTTCTCAGTCCCAGAGGCGGCGGGGAACAAATGCAGCATTGGGTTGATGCTGCATCAACCCAGTAGAGTATGACTGTTTTTTCTTTTTGTTTTACAAAACTTCTCTTTTCAAATGGTTGTAAACCCCTTTAATATACCCAGTAAAGTGACTGGCCTTGGGTGATATACAGAAATTAAACAAATCCTACTACATAAGTTGTACCTGTTTATCTGCAGACTTCCCTTTGTTACATCCATTCAATGTGCAGAATTTATAAAGCTTGTCTGAGAGTCCAGAAATGAGGGGGCAGGGAGCTGAAATTAGACTTTGCAGAGGTTAGTGACAACACACAGCTCCCTGGAACAGAGCTGAGGCTGTCAACCTGCTGGAGGTCCCTCCCTGGTCACCATTTTTGTCTTGGTGTCAGGAAAACTTGTCAGAAGTGATTCACACAGATAGCAGAGGAACAGGGCAGCAGACAGAAATAATACTTGATGCTCTGGATTGAGACAAGTATACACTATAGAGGGATGTGCTTTGTTCATATTTCATGTCTGGGGGTTTACAACCACTTTAATTCTCATCTAAAGCGGTGCATACACCTCTGTTTTTTTTTTTTTTCAAACACAGATATTGATAAGCTTTTATAATACAGACAAATTCTTCATTTGTTACATTTGTTCTGAAGAGTCTGTGTTTTGTGACATTTAATGTAGCATTGTTGCTTTTAATTACCAGGAGCACCAAAATGGATAATTTACTTATATACAGTAAATATTTCTCTGAAAAGCGGATCCTGAAATGATACAAAAGATCTACTGTTGAGTTAGATGGCAGGAGGCCATCTTCTCCTGACATACTGAGGAAACTTTGGCTCACTAATAAAACCATGTATTTAATTAGGAAGCTGTTCTTTTTGTGGTTGCTTTGTTCTAGAATTCTTTGTGG